CACTCACTCTCACGCTCACACTCTCTCACACTCACTCTCTCACACTCACACTCACTCTCTCTCTCACACGCTCTCACGCTCTCTCGCTCTCTCGCTCTCACGCTCTCACGCTCTCACGCTCTCACGCTCTCACGCTCTCACTCACACTCTCGCTCTCACTCACTCTCTCACACACTCACACTCACTCTCACACTCTCTCTCTCTCTCTCACTCTCTCTCACTCTCACACTCACTCTCTCGCTCACACCCTCTCGCTCACACCCTCTCGCTCACACCCTCTCGCTCACACCCTCTCGCTCACGCCCTCTCGCTCTCACACTCTCTCGCTCTCGCTCTCACACTCTCTCTCTCTCACACTCTCTCGCTCTCACACTCTCTCGCTCTCTCACTCACCCTCTGTTTGTTAAACTACAGCTACATTGTCTGCTGGGTTTCAGAGATGCTTCATACCGACGGAGGCGTTCAGTCAGGAGACGTTTAACACAATGTCAGTCTTTAAATGATCCAATAAAGCTTAAACATGGTCACTCTGTCTGAGGAGCCATTTGTCACTGTCTAACAATTCCATTTAAAGACAACATTATATGAATATACCGCTGAGTGTCCATCAGCAAATCCTGAACGGGTACAGAAGAAACGTCTTTATAAACTGCATTACATATTATCAACTCACATGCACAAATATTATACCAGAGTGTGTCAAAGATACAATCACTCACACACACACACACACACTCACTCTCTCTCACACACACTCACTCTCTCACACACTCTCTCACACACTCACTCGCTCTCTCTCTCTCTCGCTCTCACACTCTCTCGCTCTCACGCTCTCACTCGCTCTCACTCACACTCTCACTCTCTCACACTCACTCTCACACTCACACTCACTCTCTCGCTCTCACACTCTCGCTCTCTCGCTCACACTCTCGCTCACTCGCTCACACTCTCGCTCACTCGCTCACACTCTCGCTCACTCGCTCACACTCTCGCTCACTCGCTCACACTCTCGCTCACTCGCTCACACTCTCGCTCACTCGCTCACACTCTCGCTCACTCGCTCACACTCTCGCTCACTCGCTCACACTCTCGCTCACTCGCTCACACTCGCTCTCACACTCGCTCTCACACTCGCTCTCACACTCGCTCTCACACTCGCTCTCACACTCGCTCTCACACTCGCTCT